GGTGCTTGTTATTTACAGTGCAAAGTATTATCTTTCTTATTTTCTAGATAAGAAAACAGGTCCAAAAAGGTGATGTGGGTGCCGTATATAAACCTGCTCTTGGGGAACTGAAGGCTAATAATACCAACAAGATCTAGAGGACATGATAAATTCCTATTTTATAAATAACTGAAAGTTATTAAGTAGAAGCTAGGTATTCCAACCCTTTGTGATGATGCAAAAAAGATCTACTTCCATTCCTTTTTGTGTGAAATACTTCCTTTGGGTTACTACAGTAAAATAAGACTGGGTTGGGTGAAAGACAGGACTACATTACAGTACTTGCTATAGACTCCTATTGCCTATTATTCCCAGATTTAGGGTAAAAGTGGTAGGAGATAAGCCCTAATTTCTGGTGAAAAAACTAAACCAAGATATTGCCTAATGGTAGTTGGGGATATAAGTGTTCTCTCTCCCAGCACACTCTTTTTTTTTTTTACCATTGTTGGTTCAATCTTGATATTGCCAAAGCAGGTCACCCTGTCCAGTGCTCTTAGCAACTACTGTAGATTTTTCCTGAAGTCAGTCCTACAAGTAACAAATTGTGATCTTCTTTGTCTTCCCCAAAATGTCCCATATGCACTTATATTCTTAAGTTACTAACGTACTAATGTGGAAGAGGAAGGAAGTCTTTTGTGCCATTGGTCAATGATATAAGAATGTAAAAACCATCTCCTAGGGCCAAAACCCAACACAACAGAAAGGCTTTGTTGATGATAAGAGGAAAAAATTAAATTATGCATTTTTATATATCACATATTCCAGTAAATTAGTAGATCACTATAAAGTAGATGACTTTAGTTATTTTTTCACCATTAAAAACAAAATGAGCAAACAGAAAAACAAACAAAATCCTAAAATACTCTGTGCCAATAAATGCTGTTGACCTATGTATTGCTAATGCTGGAAAATGATGTTAAAATATGACCAAGAAAATCAGTGAGTTGCAACATTATTTACCTACAAAATTAGAAAAGGAGATGCAGAATTTAAACAGTGTAGTTTCACAGGAGTGTTTATGAGTACGCACTTTGGTTATCCTACTGAGCTCAATAATTCCAGTTTCTGTGGAAAACAGTATGTTTCATATAGTTTCTGAGTTCTGTATCTCAAATAAAAATAATTGTTCTATAACAGTCTCCTGATGCCTTACTTCTACCACTTTGTACTGCCTGTCAGCTGGGTAGTTTCCATGGGTGCCACAGTGGCCAACTTGCATATTAACTAGCTCACATGGACCTTGACATCCAGATATTGGCTTTAATTCATATATGACAGTTATAGGACTCCCTTTTTCTGCAATAACCACTCAAAAGGATTTTAACAGGGCCTGGTAACTTTCTCAAAATATAGTGGTAGCTCATTTTCTCCAAGGACAATTCTTGTCTATCTTAAAGTCAACGCTTGGTCACTGTAATGAATGAGCTGTAACTTTATATTTTTACTAAATATTTCTATCTGATCCCCTAGCAATACCATACCTTCAGTTCCCAGGATCCATGTGTTCTTGAGCTACTGTTTCTAGAAAAGGAAATAATGCAATCCATTTATTAGAATTCAGATAATAAAATAAAACTTCTTACCTAATAAGGATGATCTTTATGTTTTCTCTACTGAAATCATATGTAAAAATAACTTATGATTTTTAATAGAGCTTACCATCCACATATGGAAGAAATAAAGCCTTCATGTGGCTATAACTCTAGGTGAAAAGGCCATATCAATATTTCATTTTTTCTTGCCCTCACTGATTTTTAGTTTCACGTTATTTATTAAAGTTAATTGACTGGTAAAGTTCACCTACAGATCAACAGGTTTTTGGGTACACCAAAAAAAAAAAAAAAAAGAATTCATTTTACAAGAGGATTCACAAACATCAAAAAATACTTACTACTACTAAAAAATATATTTACTGACATGAAGAAGCTGCCGTCATTCTGTTACTTATGAGACTAATGTGTTTTTTAATTTTTTAATGCAATTCGTATTTACTGGTATCAAAAGCAGATACTTAATCCTAAAAAATGCCCAAGTAAGAAGACTTGGAAACAACTTCTCAGTGTCTTACTTTTACAACAGTCTAACCTAAGATCCAACATATGAAATCTCTTTAGGCCAGTATACTGCAAAGTGAATATCACTAGCCACCCTATCAGAATCATTTAGTGAGCATACTGAAAAATCCACCCCAAACCTGCAGAATCAGTATACTTGTATTTTAAATAAACACTCGAGGTGATTCTTGTAGACACCAAAGTTAAACCACTGCTTTAGGCAATAGAGAATCCCATTATTTAAGTCTTAGTGCCTTAAATAACATTGGAATGCTGTGTGCTTCACTGTTTTTAAGCAGCAGTACTTATCACCACCTAGTGGTAAAATCCATTATTTCTATTTCTATGGGTTCATTAATACTGAGCAGGATCCCAACTAAAATAGAATGTCCAAAGAAAGCTAAAATTTTAGACTAATAATTTCCTAGGTGTTTTTCATTAACTTTTTATCTGTGGTGGGATGAAACCCGTGGAACTAATACCAAACATTTTCTACATGTACTTGACCATGAAAAATTTCTTATTAGTATTTCAAGAAACATAGTTTGGAACATGATACTCAAGAAGCAGCAAATTTAATAGTTGCTTTCAGTGCCTGTAATCTATCACATAAAACTTGAGTGAATGAATTTACAGTAAAGTTTTGATCAGGCTTTATTTTAAATGTCATTTATTATTGTAAAAGAAGTTTATTGACCTGTATTATCATTTTTTAATTTTTTAAATTAAAAAATATATACTAATAAAATCCCTGTATGTTGAGTTTTAATAACTGACATTTGTTAAGAATCTAAATATTCATATGTATATTGTGTTCTTATACCTAAAGTGCATCTGAGAAGTAAATATGTAGGTGAAGACATAAGCACTAGATTATTAAACGCTGTTTCTTAGGTTCTAAAATTTCCTTATTTAAAGAAAAATGTCACATTCTGGCTTTTAAAAATAAAGTTTTACAAATCAAACAACTGCAAGAGATAGAAAAGCAGGATTTTAAATAATTGACAGGATTAAGATGAAATGCACATTGAAGCCAAAGTAAACATTGTTCACTGAAACATACAACTGAGAAAGAAAGCAAAACAGAAGGTTACACCGAAAAAGCAAAGAAGTGTTTTGTGGACAGAGAAGTATAATACAAGTCTCTTTAGAATTTATGTGAAGGACCTAGATGAAGCACCGTACTGATACCACTCTTGCTTGATGGGACTGGCTGCCTGACCTTAAACATAGAAGGGAGAAACTGGGATCATTTAATCTGAACAGAAAATTTGGAGGGCAGGAAGGTACATAATAGCTACCGATGTGAGAGATTCAAATTCTATATGGCCCAGTGAAAAACTTAAAGACTAACAGGTAAAAATTGTAGAGAATCAGATTTTATCTCAATTATGAGAATTAACCAAAGATGCAGTGGACTCAGGTGGGAGTTAGGGAGTGCCCTTTCTATAACTAAAAGCATTACTTTTACACTGTTTAGACTAACCATCTGGCAAGAATATATATATTTTTTTCCTTTTTGTCTTTTTTCGTGACCGGTAACAGGATCGCAACCCTCGGTGTCGCGCCCGTACCGTGACTGGCAACGGGATCGCAACCCTCGGTGTCGCGCCCGCACCGCGCTCAACCAGTGAGTGGACTGGTCTCTATATGGGATCCGAACCCTCGGCGGGAGCGCCGCCGCGCTCCCAAGTGCTGCACTCTACCGAGTGCACCACCGGGCCGGCCCGGCAAGAATATTTTTGACGATATCCAAGCATTACTTGGGTGGTAGAGCCAGATAACCTGTTACGCACAATTTAATTCCAACCTGTGAAAACTGAATTATGTGTGCAGTAAATGGGTTTAGGATGAATAAGTCTATCTCTTGGTAATTAACCCCTAACTCTCCTCACTTAGGTTTTTCATTTCTAAAGAGAGTATTTGCTTTCTTTTTCTTTCTCTGGCTCGCAGAAAGATGCTTGGTTCAGTTTTTGTTCAATGTCTGCCTGGGAAGATAAGACTGGGAATTTTCTTATCTAAGTTTACTGAAATTACTGATTCAAAAAAAGAATTTTAATTTTTCAATGGAGAGATGTCCAAGTACAAAATACTCTATTATACTCACCAAATTTAATTTTTCACTGTTTTTATTTTAACTCAGGATGTGAGAAGCACAATGAGGAGGTAATTAAGTGATGTTTTAAATCCGTATACCATTTATAATACTTTTTCGAGCTTCCAGGTTCTTGATTTAGATATACTTTTTCGATACATATTATTCACCTCAAGAGCTGATAAAAATGATTTTTTGGATTTTCAAAATTCAGAGTAGTTTCCTAATTTTTAATCTTTAACTTCAAAATGACTATACCTTCTATCATGGTCTGTTTTGGAAACTGCTTATATGTCATATTTCTGGGGTGACCACTATATTCCTGTATTTATAGAGAAAAATGTCCACCTTTCCAATGCCACTGATATTTAAACTTATTATCAACAATAACTTATTTTTAATTTTTTAATCCCTGTTGCTTTATAATCTTAAAAGGTCCTTATAAAATTAGCAATAAATTTTGATATAACTATAAAAATACAGTATAAAAATATTTCTAATGATATGTCTTTTGGCTCTCGTCCTTAGAGTAAGTGTAAGGAGTTGATCCTCACGTGTAGACTGAGTAGCAATTACCATATTTTATTGAGTCTAAGATGCAAGTCATTAAAAAAAGCACCTTTATTTTGTTTCATTAAAAATGTTGTCAATTACACTATGGCACATAATTGATATCAAGATGTTTCCACTTTCAGAGGTGTTAAAATGTAAAAAAATGTGCATCTCAAAATCAATGAAATATGTCATTTAGTTAAATTCTAAACACTGTCTATTAAATTTTTTATTCTCATCTTTCACATAAATAAGTCATGATTTAGTTAAGCAAAGACACTTTATTTCTGCCACACATAACAACAAATTGCTCTAAGAAACAACTACTATATTAGTTTTAGCATTAACGTATGGATTCAAAAATACATGTCAGCAATCCCTGCTTCCCAGACAAAACAATGTTGTGCACAGACTATCAGGTATATGAAAAAAAAAGCTGTCAACTGTCCACAGGGAGTGCGTCCAGTCACATTTTCAGTCAGTCAGCTGAGGATTACGTCATTATTTAGTCTTTGTTCTGTAGAAAGAACACAAGACAAGTATGAAAATCATCATCTGAAAGGAAATAACTATTGTATATAGTATTCCTAAAATGTTAGGAATTACTCCTTTATTTCAATATAACAAATGTTATCTGCTTATTCACAGATGCCCCCAAATAAACAAAGTCAAACTTACTCGAAGGATGATGAAAGCAGGTACTGAATTTCTAAAGGAAAAATGCTGTGAATTAACACAAAATCAGATGCTCTGAAATACTAAAATTTTCATTTTCCTCAATTAGAAAGACAAATACATTTTACACATCAGACTCATCTCAAAATAGAACTCAACCATTTTCAAAGTTATATTCTTAGACTAGTTTCTTCTCCTATTTCATAGGTATGGCTCACTTAATCACTAGCTCATTCCTCAGAGATAAAAGGAACTACCCTTCATAAGGTGTTTGGGACCTCATGAAATTAAAGAAACAAAAAGTACATACACCCCCCACAGAAAACTCTGCAACTGTCACAATCATGTAAAATTGGGGAAAGTCTTTCATACTACTATCAAACCTTAAAATAAGATAATATATTTATTTAATGCACCAACAAATTAGTAGAATCTCATTATGGATCCATGGTAAATAGATCTTCAGCAAAAATAAATTCAAAAGCCATGCTGCAGGGCCGGCCAGGTGGCACACTGCTACAGTGCGCCGCTTGGGAGCGCGGCGGCGCTCCCGTCGAGGGTTCAGATCCCACATACAGACAGGTTCCCGCTCACTGGCTGAGTGAGGTGCGGGTGCAGCACTGGGGGTTGCGATCCCGTTGCTGGTCCCGGTCCGGTACGGACGCGACACTGAGGGTTGCGATCCGTTGCCGGACACGAAAAAAAAAAGAAAAAAAAAAAAAAAAAGCCATGCTGCAATCAGAAGACATTCGAAACCAGTGTAGCTAATTATATCCTACCCAAATAGCCATTTTTGACTAATCTGACCCTACTTCATCTTTGCCCTGAATATGTATAACAGTTCAATAAAGGGAAAAGTGATAGATTTATATTTTTATGACTAGCCATGCTAAAGAATATGCAATTCCTCTAATGTAGGAAATTGGATGAATGTATATCACTTTTAAGGGAAAAATGTGGCATTATAAAAGCTTATAACGTACCAGCTGGCCATGAGGTAGTTTTGTATCATTAAACTTTTAATTTCTGTTCACTTCAATGTCATTGTTTTGGAAGAGATGATGTCTCAAAGATTTCACTAAACCACAAATGCAAGAGTTTTTACTCACACTTGCATTTTTGTTTTAATTTTAAAAAGAATTTTGCTGATTCACTGTCTCTCAATGACCCTTGAAAAAAACTGGGCCTCAAAAAGGTGAAGAGACTTGCCCAATCACAGTTAAGGGTCAGAGCTGGAATTCCAACCTAGATTTTCCAATTTTAAGTCCATATTCTCTTTAATATGCAAATCGTCATTAGGACAGGTTCAACCATAAGAGTAATTTACATAATTTTCCATATAAAGAAGTCTTTATACTCCTTCCCAGCCAGTCGCTATTGTCTTTTTTAAGGACAAAGATTCATTGAACAGAAGCAAGGATGAATTGTTAACTATACATTTGAAATAGTCACAGACAAGAATAAATATTTTTGCATGCTATTTGAGAGGATAGGTTTTCTAAACAGAATTCAGTTCTTAACATTTTATTTATAAACAGGAAAAACTGCTTGCTAATTCTTTTTGCTGTCAATTAAATATTCCTAGGGTTAAATTGCTAACAATGTATGGTATAATGAGAGTGTCATTTGTCATTAAATAAAACATCTTAAAATAAGGACTATTTATAATGGGCCCAATGGATACTTTCTTTTGCCAACTGCCTTCTATGAAGGAGAAACTAATCACTTGACTTGCTATATGAGAGGGTCAACAGCAGTAAGGCCTGAGACACTTCATATCGATATTTGCTAGCTTGCATAATTGATCAGAAAGAAAACTTTAAGTGAAAAAAAAGAAATGGTTTTAAGCCAGTAACTTCAAACTGAATTCAAAACGCTTGCTTGCCAACTACTACCATTTGACCTGTAGTAGACTCGCGAAGCTAGTGTATGTGGGAAGAAGGAAACTCAGAATTCATTTACAGAATAAAAAGTCTAAAGATTGTTCCCCCAAACCAGAGAGATATAAACTGTCACAGAAAAAGAAACTGAAGTTTAGTTTTTGAAAACTAATAAAAAGGAGAAGGAATTCATATGGCTGTAGGTATCATTATTTATAATAAATAAGAGTTTTCAGTAAATTGTCAGGTTTTTAAAAAATACATATACGCATATGAGAATATTTTCTGAATGTGTAGTTTTAATGCACAAACTCACAAATGTAAGTCCAGAAAAACACCAACATTTAGGCTCAAAAGGTCCAAGAAAGGTATATTATTTGATGATACTTCTTAGGCATTTCATTAGTGAGAAGTCAAAACATTCTTTATAAAGACTGTTATAAATTACCTTAATTCCTAACTCAAGACACCAATTCTTCAGGTTAAAAATTAGAAGTATTTCAACTTTAAAGTTTATGTACACATACAGTAAAATCCAATTCTTAAAATCTAAGACGTTCACAAACAAAAAACAATTATTTGATTTTCTAAATTGAAATCTGATTTTATTTTATAGGAGGGCAAAAACATTCTTCCAGTAAATGTCAAAACCATTTTTTTAAGTTGAAATAAAGTTTAAAAAATAGATTATAAAAAATGTGGCTTGATTTATCAGCAGTTTTAAGCCAGAGTGCTTTTAAAGGGAAACTTCTAAATCCATGAAAAGAACAGTCCATAGTTAGGATACTTAGACATACTCCTCTTGCTATACTATATGGTGTGTTTTGAAATTCATATTAAAAAGCACTTACCTCAAGAATCAGTAAGTTCTCTGCCGTTTGTTAGATTCTTCTCTTGGGGAATCTGCCAGCATCACTTTAAGTCTAACCCCATTCAGAATCTTTTCATGTAAAGTAGCAATGGCATCATTAGCACTTATTCTATCTGCATACTTGGCATAGCCCACGTTTTTTCCTGACACAAGGTAAACTTCGATCAGGTTACCAAAACGACTGAAACAAAGTAAAAATATCTACTGAAATTGATAAATATAGTTGCTCAGGTCTCAAACTTGGGCCCATTTTTGATTACTTGTTCACTCTTCTTCCCATAACCAACATCCAATTCATGTCATTCTTAAACATCTGAATCAGTCAATTTCTCTTTATTCTCACTCAGGTCTCATTCTTTATCCTGACCATCTTTATCTCTTCCTTAGATTACTCTAACACCTTTTTCACTATTCTCCTTGACCCCTGGGCTTATCCCTCTCCAATCCATTCTCCACTTTGTCTCCTGAGTGACCTTTCTAAAACACAAATATGATCACTTACTCCCTAAAAATCCCCTTGGCAGCTCCCCATTGCTTCCAGGATAAGGACTGACTCCTTGAGTTTTCGGGCCTTTTTTGACATGGTCCTTGGCCTCTTTAGCTTCATCTTCTCTCACAATCTCTCAAAGTCCATATTCTAATGACCTCCTTTCATATTCCATCTGGTAGGAGTAACCATCTCCTCCCCCAGCTTGCTTCCTTGGCTAGCAAAATTCTTTTTATCTTTTAGGTCCCCAGGTACACCTTACTTTATTCAAGAAGCTTTCTCAGAGTTTCTAAGGTAGGCCCTTGTTTGTATTTCACACACTTCTTATTACAGCAGCAATCTCACTAGGTTTAATTTCCTATTTACTTGTCTGTCTCTTACATTAGATTAGCTCTGTTGTTTCTATAATATAACATTTTGTTTATGTAACATCTCCTGCACTTAGCACTGCACTTCCCTGGCACTGAGGAGAGGTTTCTAGAAAAAAAACCTAATGAATCAGTTAAATAAAGGTCAAAATACTTGGATCACATCCCTGATATTTTGTGTAACTCTTTAACAAGCTTCCTATCTATCTGTTTAATTCACTAATATTCTTTTAAGGCAAACAGGAAAAAAAAAATGAAAAAGGAAAAGCTGATGAAGGAGATAAAAACACAAATATACATGAGAACCCTCCCTTTTTTTACACTTTATTATACATTCTTCCCTATAATCAAGTAATTGTTTATCCAGTGTGATTAGATAATCCTAAGGATGCAACAATGCACTGACAAAATAGAAGATGATTAGTAAATATTGTTCAGTTGAATTGAAACTCTAAAGGAAAAGATATGTGAAAAAAATTCTAGTGGACAGGTCTATACAGATATAGCTTCCATCAAGAGAAAAATAAAGTATCCATTCTACGCATGCAACTTTTCAAAACAATCCTACATGTTTTATGTATTCAAAGAAAAATAACAGAAAATTCTGTGTGAAAACTTAGGATGTGTAACTGACGAAAAAGAGAAGGAAATGATCATAAATTGAAAAATACAAATAAGGAGTTTTTAAAACTGCAGAACAAATCTTACCTGATAGGTATTGAACCACAGGAGTTCCAAGATTGTGAGCATGCTTAAATTACTAGTTTTAAATAAATACTAAAAACGTAACTTTGTAGAATTGAAATCTTACCAGAATATATCCTCTAATACATCTAAAGGTAAAGGATGAGGATTAAACACGATAAAAAGTCTTTCTTTCACAGGAGTTTCAGGAGGGGCTTTTTTTTTGCATGACGGAAGTACAACATCTGTCTGGATTTGAGACAACTGTGATCCAGAATTTCCTCCAAATTGCTGTTCAAGAGTTAAGTACAAAATAAGAAAAAGAAAAACTGCACTTTAGGGATTTTTCAGCAAGAGCTAAAGACTGATGTGTATCATGGCGCCTACGTAGTCTTCTACTATAGCTCTGAAAATTTCTTACATTGGTAATGACACAAAAGTCACATTTATTTTATACATTACTGATGTATTATAAAGGTTAAATTCTTACCTACTTACCAGAAATTGCTGCTGACTTGGGTTATTCCACACCATTGATGCAAGCTGTGCAGCTACCATCTGTGTTGCCATTTTTCTAAGGAGACTGGAGACAATAACTGATAATTTACAGAAAACTAGAAATACTTAGTCTCTTAACAGTAATCTGTTTTGTGTGATTTCCTCACCTGAGGGGCCAATGTTTTCTATATTAATTCTTCAACTCATAATCATGTACACTCAAAGCTTGGCTTTGGACACTCCTGGGATGATACTTACTCTGTTGCATTACTTCCATCATCAATGAAGGAAACACCTATCCGATTCCCAGGAGGGTACTGAAATCCATGTAACTTGTATTTTGCATAAATAGCTGATGCTACATTAAAATACTGAACCACTCCATGACCTAAAATGGAGATACACAGAAATGAAAAAGAAAGCAGACTGAGTGCTCAGGACCTATGTTACAATGTATCTCAAAAATGAAATAATACATGAGAGGTCTTCAGAAGTACATGGAAAGATTCATACTATCTTTCACTTCTATGTTTCCATGAGCTTTTTGAAGTAGTCTTGTATAACCCTAATAACACAAAACTAGTAAACACAGAATCAAATATATCAGAAAACAAAGTTCTGTTATAAATGTGTGTAACAGCTGTATTCCTAGAAAACAAAGCATAAATCAGATTTTGGTAAAAATATGAACATGATATTTTAAGGAAAATGGAGTATTAACACACATGTGTCTAATAAAATTTAATTTTAGGATATTGACTTTTCTTATATACTGATATACTTAAAAACCTAAATTTTTATTCTTTGAAATCTTTAAAATTTAAAAAATTTCCCTATTGTACCAGGTAGGAAATAAAATGAGAAGTGATATATGAAAAGAATAATACTCATCTTGGCTAGCTGCAGCAGTGAACAGAGAAAAAGTGACACGAATGATAATCTAAAGGAAGGGAACACAGGGTCTCAAATCAGAAGTCACATATTTCACATTCCTTTGGTGAGGTCCCAGCTAAGGGGACCGGTTTCAATTCAGGAAGGTGATGCTAAAGAAAGGGACAATCAAGGGTTCTGGAGTCTTTAAATAGAGCCCAGGAGTTTGTGATACACCAAAAAGTTTTTATGATATATTTATAATATAACCCATTTTGAAGAAAAACACTGTTATAATTTTATGTTCCTTTCTAAACCTAATCATCAAATATTTTAATCAAATTAAAACATAGAAATCAAATGACCATATAAAATGAATTCAAATAGGATTCTAACTATATAACACCTCTATTAATAAAATGTTGTTCTAATGATACACATTTATCAGACACATCCAACTGAGAAACAATATAGATGGTATAGGAACAAACGCATGTCAACATACCAGATAAAAGGGAAGGAAAACACAAAACAAAGATAATTACATATGAATATAACAAATGTGCCAAAAAAACCGTAATGTATGCCTAAGAGTCTTAGAACAGAGAACGATAGCATAAGATTCGATTAAGGTTGGAGATGGCCCAAAGTAGGTTCAGATGGATAGTTCTGCAAAAAGACCAGTGCTGGTCTGGGTAACAGTGAGTTAGTGAGTATGTGTGGGTGTCTGCGTAAAGAGTGGAAGCACTTCAGGTCTCTTGGCCAATAAGTCCACACTCACTTCCCAATTTCCCTTCAACACCAATGTCACTGTAAAAGAACTAAACCAGGTAAACCTACAGTACTGGAAGAGATGCCAAGTATGATTTCTCTATACCACCTCTCACTTCCAATTCTTTAAAAAACAAACAAAAACCCCTCAGATTTACTTAGTGCCTATTATGTACCATGACTTGGATTAGGTTATTTTACATATATTATTTCTAACTCGTACGAAACCCTGGCAAAAAAAGATATTAATAATTCCATCTTACAGATGAGAAAAGAAAGGCTCAGGGAGTTTAAACAATTTGTCAAGATCTCAAAACTACATGCCACTGCTCAGATTTGCACCTGAGTCTGTGGCAAATCCCATATGAGTTGTAGCAAAATGGAATGCCTAACTTTTTCCATTATGCCACAATGCCTCCATTAAGGAGCTAACTCTAGATAATGGGTTTAGACAACTAACTAGTTAACAAGTTCAAATGGCTGATATTAGAGCCTCGCTTCTATTGAGAACTGGAAAAAGAAGAGAGAGAAGGAGGACCTTTAAATGCTTGAAATAAAGTGAGAGAGTTTCATTCAGGGGTATAAATTTAAGTAAAGAGACTTAGGGATGAATGAGGAGAAAACTTTGAGAGTTTTATAACTTTGTCTAGTATTAATCAAAAGAGCACAGACAAACACAGACCCTATCCTGAGGTATATTTGTTGTATACTGGAAATAGAGAAAGCTCCATTTTGTGGAAGTTAAAACATTTTTTTAAAGTGAATGACTTTGTATAAAAGAGATGGACTCCCAGGGGTTTGTTTACTAAGGTATCACTGTATCTTAAAGTCTAAAGTAGAAAAAAACCAAATATAAAACTCTTATCACACAAAGAGTAACTGACATAAAAATGACACTGGAGAAGAGCCATTTAAACAAAATGCAGCATATTTTAAAACAGTATAGACATTATTTTACCATAATTTGAATAAGGATCCCGTTGAACTTCACAATATTCCAATCCTGGTACTATATCAAAAATGCTGAAAAGCTGTTCTTCAGTGAAAGGAACTCTTGATACAACAGACAAACGTTTGGAGATAGCTTCCTGTCCTCTGCTGTCACTCTTGTCAAAATTTGAAAATTCAGATGGTTGTTCTCCCACAATATTAAAAAAAAGTATATCGTTAAATTTCCATACATTCAAGAATTCATTTAACATTTTTTTATTTTTGTTTTTGATTATTTGGGGTTTTTTTTAGCTCCCATGTATACGTGAGGACATGCAGTATTTCTCTTTCTGTGCCTGGCTTATTTCACTTAACACAGTTTTCTCTTCATGTAACATTTTAGGTATTAGAAAATAAAAATTCCACTGTAATAGAAAGGCACTGTATTTTGTAATACACTTTCGGTCATCAGCACTATCGGAAAGGACCAATGACAAGAAAACAGACAACTCTCCCCACTCTCCTACCTTCAATGCAGAAATATAAGCAGAAATGCATAGTCTAATTTCACAGGAATAAGTGTAGTATGCAAAACCGAAAAATATGGCAAACATTTTACTTGAAAGTTTATGCCAAGTAAGATTAACAGGCCTTACTTTCATCACTCATTTTCTCCTTTTTCTAGTTTCTACATTTCTCATTTCTCTCCTTTCTATAGCCCTAAGCAGCAGTAGTTTTGGGACAAAATTTTAGGACTCATACTAAGGGGATATCTGTATATGTCTTTTGTATCTTTGGGTCAGCTACACAGAGGGAGAAACTACCCAAAATGGCAATGACATAGATTAATATGTAGATAATGCATAACTAATCAGAAAAAACTATAATTGGAAATAAGTTAAAAAAAATAAGTGTTAAACCTTAAAGACATTAGGAGTCAACCAACGTTTTAGGAAAAAAAGCAACTAAACTTAAGAATTTTATTCATTAGGTAAGATTTACAGTCTGCTGATAAAAGAATATTTTAAAAAATAGGAATTAGATTGCACATACTACATATACTATTAAAGGTAGCTAACTTACCAAATGGAAACATATTTACTCTAGGTTCATGTCCCAAAGCCTCTTGCCTTAGATTACCATAATAATCTTGTTCTGAGGATTCAGACACTTTATTTTTAGGTTCAGCCAAGATTGCCCTAAAACCTAAAAAAGAAAAAAGAATTCCAAGCTTCGCAGCAAATTTAACATACCTGCAGATATATTTAATTGTTACTGCCTGACTTAACTTTATAAATATAATTGTAAAAAGCAAAATCTACACAACAGCTATCTCTACCAGACCTACTTCTTTGCTTTCTGGAATATGGCAAAATGTAAATGAGAAACAGTAAGAATCACAAATTGTGGGTCAATATAGATACAAAAGATCAGCAATTCTATGCTGTCCAGTCCAATCTTCCCCTACCACAGATTTTGGGAAAACAGAATAGTTTGGTCAGGGCCCTCAGCTCGGGTCCAGTTGGGTGTGGTTCAGCATCCTTTGTAAGCAAATTGTGTGTGTTTGGAGTTAGTGCACACGTGCACCAATATATCTTTTTAGTTTTGTTGCTATTCTTGTGTCCTAGAGAGAGAGAGAGAGACTAAAGAGAGAGAGCTGGTGAGGCAGAAGGGTGGGTGTTGGCCTCGGGTGTCCACCCTGGGCAACTATGCTTTCCAACCTACGGCTTCCCAGAACCTTTTGGCCGGTTACCTAGCTCATAGACCTGCGTGAAGGGGTCTGGTGACCCAGCCTGGCACGTGTAGGGTCTGGTGACCCAACCTGGCATGTGAAGAGCTTGTGACCCAGTCTGTGTATGGGCTTGAGGGGTCTGTGAGCTCCAGACCCAGCCCTAGCTCAACGATCGGCCCAGTCGGTGTAGGATTACCGGCAGGTAAAAGAGCCCAACAACTGGCGTGGTCGCCTAACTTTACAATTGGTGTCATGAACAGGATTAAGAACTAGACAATTGGCGCTGTGAGCAGGATTCGGGACATTAGCCTCGCAGTAGCCAGACCACAAATGATATCATCATTCATTTACTCAGGCTCAACACCAAAAGCCTAAAGGACTTTTTCACATTTATCCTGTCACCAAGATTATTCCTTTGAAATATACTTAGAATACGAATACGGTATGTTTTACTCTAACTTCCTGCCTCTGTTTTTAACTTAGATTCTCTTCAATTAATTACAACAGCCCTTTAACTGGTCTCCTTTCTTCTGGATCAAGGGTTCTTAACTAGGAGCCTACAGATGAGCTTCAAAAGGTGAAAAGGTTCCATGAACCCCCTGAAACTGTAAACAAATTGCTTATGCATATATGTATATATCAGCATACTTCAAGGGCTTATCGCTTTCATCTTATTATTCAATGACTTTAAAAAGGATAAACCAGTCAGTTTGAATTCTTTCTCTAGAAATCAATCCTTAATTCTGTGGTTAGATCAACTCTTCTAAAAGTTGTTATTTTCCTCTTTTTAAACAATCTACAAGGGAATCCTAACATGGATTGGAGTCTTCATAACCTCCCATATGTTCCTGGTTAACTTTGTTCATAATTTCTCAACAGGAATATTGTGCTTTATTCAGACAGTTGTCTCATATCATTAAGCATAAGACATGTTTATTCCTGGCTCTGTGCCTCTCCTAACACTGCTCTCACCTTCTGTCCTGTTTTCTCTACACCAAGCACAAGTCCTACCTCCTCTGGATGTGTTCTCTGCTCATTCAGCACACTTGTTTTTTCACCAGTGATAGACTATACCACACACTTTCGATTTTTTTTTTCATTTGGCAAACTCTTATTGAGTCTACTACAACTGACAGTAACTTTGATAGAGATTTCAGTAAATCTTTATTGAGGGCCTATTACTGTACTAGATACTTGGGGTGACAGACAAATAAGATATACTTCTTGCCAGTTAGCCCAGTTGGTTGGTTAGAGTGCAGTGTTGATAACACCAAGGTTAAGGGTTTGGATTGCCATACCAGCCAGCCAGCCAGCCACCAAAAAAAAAAAAAAAAAAAAAAAGACATACTTCTTGCTCTCAAAAGCCTTCAAAGGGCCAGCCCGTGGCTCACTTGGTGTGGTGCTGATAAAACCAAGGCCACAGGTTCAGATCCCTATACAGGGTTGGCTGGTTAGCTCACTTGGGGGAGCGTTGTGCTGACAACACCAAGTCAAGGGTTAAGATCCCCTTACTGCATCTTTTTTAAAAAAAGAAAAAACCTTCAAAAAAAAATGTTCCATTATTTTTTATTTTTTGCCTATTAGATCTTGGCTACCCAATATAGCTATAAATTCCTTAAATGCCAGGGCTACTATATATTTCATTTATATCCCTCTACTCAGCATATTAGTGAGTATACCATAGATACTCAATTAATGCTAGCTGAATGAGAAATTTAGAAGATCCAAGAAAATTTTGGTTTGTACCTTAGGGGTATCTAAGAATTCTACTGATTAATAATAATTCTTTCCAGTATGTATAGATTTTTATAACATCCTAAAACTCACATCTCATATCTAAAGGCCAATATAACTAGAAGTATGACAACAAAGAAGACTGTCCTTGGCTCCTTTAAAATTCTTATTCTTCATTATGTATACAGCAACAGCAGAAGATCTAATTAATGTCAGTAACTGTAGCTTGAAATTAATCCTATCTATATTTAATTACCTGGAATTAAATAAATCCTATCCTTAACCTATATGCTTATTAGTATACTTAATTCTATTTATGGTCTATGTCAAATATGAACAAATATAAAGAATAAATATTTAAAAGAACCTGTAAGGGCAAGTCAGTTTTTTAATACTTAAAATTCTAAAACAGTTAAAGAAAAAAAAAAAATCTAGACAAATAACCAAAATATGCACTTCACTTACTATCTAATACAGCTAATTATATTTCTGTGCAAGATAGTGCTTCAATTAATGCTTAATCACAGTCCCAATATGTTTTTCATCCTTGGACTAAATATTTACTTATTAGAAAAAAAAGAGTATTAGATTCAGTTTTTAGAATAATTAAAAATTAAAATAAAAATCTTCAACAATGTTAAACACAAACACATCCTTACTTCGATCACAATTTTCTATTGCTTGGGCAGCTTGTGATGGTTTAAAGTATCGTACATAACCCAAACCTTTACTTTCTCCAGTGACTTTATTCTTAGTAATGGTGCAATACTTGATATCTCCATACACCTATGAGAATTAAAAGAAATGCTCTTAGGGAACTTAAAATAATTGAATAGATTATTTCAGAACTTAAAACTTATGTTTATTTGTGTCTTTTGAATGCAAGCAAAGAAAACCTTCAAGGATATATAAATATTTTATACTGTTTATTTCACAGACAAGGAATCTGGGTCTCAGAGAAATCAAATAACCTGCCTAAGTCACAGAAAGACTAAATCATGGAGAGAGAGTAAGTATGAATTTATACATGTTTAGACAGCTCCAAAGTCTTGCTCAGTAGTGGTTAGGAGCAGGGGCTCTGGAATTGAACTTTCTAAATTCAATTCCTAGCTCAGCCATTTATTAATCAGGCAGTTTACTGATCCTCTCTTTGCCTATCTTTTAAATAGGGCTAATAGCAGTGCCTACCTCATAGGGTTGTCTTAAGGGTTAAATGAATTAATTCAAGTTTAGTGCTTATAAAGGGCTGGGGGCATACTAAACATGCAATAAACATTAGCTATAATTATTTGTCTGTCTTCTAACAGAAGCATAAATGATTATGTATTCTTCTGAAGGAAAGTCTCTCAAAGTATCTCTCTAAAATATACTGATTCACTCAGAAAGTTAATATTCTATGTGAGAAATATGCAGTAATGCTTACTTTTGATGTTGGAATATGAATATAGATTTTTGGTATTTGTTATTTATTTTATAAAGTTCTCATGTAACCTATTAGCAATTTAATTAGCATGCATTTAGATTAAAATGTCACATTTGTTCACTCAGAAAAAGATAAAAATTTATATAAGGTGAAGAACTTTTTTCTTATTATTGGAGAAAGTATAGTATATATATTTTTGATATTTGGCATTTTTGAAGTATTATATTGAACTCTTAATTGAACTCTCAAATTTCCTGACAAAGGATATTTGAAAATTACTTTTTACTGCTTGTTGCTTTTCTTTCTTGCTTGTTGCCCACCCAATTCATAGCATTGGGAGGATTAGAAGTAAAAAAGATAAAAAAGTACAACTCAAAGCAATTTTAAAATTGCTTTTCAATAATTTTTGTGAGAGTTTATCACTGCACATGAAAGTCAATGGCTAAAAATATTTTAAATTATGTTCAAATTTTATTTGCTATGATTTATAGTTCCGAGCTATATATTTTTTTTCCTTCAGAGGCCCAATTTTAGAACAAAAATTCTTCAAAGACTAAGCCTTTCTGTGAATGAATAAAATGTTAGCATACCGTAGCCCTCTAATGAATACCAGATAATACAGTTCACACACTCAGGCCTGCCTGACTCACCTCAACATGATAGACAACCTAGGGGAGTGATAGAGTGCTTTGAAATTTTAAAGACCAAGAACAGGCTCTGGACTCAGAGAGCTTGGATTTAAATCTTGGCTCTACCATCTACTAGGTATGTGACCTTACTTAAAACTCTGAGCTTTATACTTCATTTTTCCCAGTCTGTACTTTCATGATAAAGTTGGGGGGAGGGGAATGGAAACACCACCATTACTATTTTCCAGTTTTTATATATTCTTTAATTAAAAAAATTAATTTATTCTAGGTTTAATATTTAAAGACTAGATTGAGATTGATGACCTAAAAAGTTATTTAATTCCCCCCCACCACTCTAATGATCTAATTCAAAAAACACTTTAGATTTAGTAACCATAAAACCTATATAGGATTATGAGATATCACATATGCTAGCTGATTAGAAAACATTAAGTACCTTAAATTTTTCCCGTAGATCTTCTTCTGTGTAGGACTTTGGTATCATAACAAAGATTCTTGTAAGTTCTTCATCTTCAACATCTCGATGACTTCCAGATGACCTGGACTGAGCAATAAAAACCTAAGAAACAAACAAAACCCCCAAAATAGCGTCAACTGTTTTTCTATTCCTTAAGTATACGTACGTACTTTACAATTATAGATGCTTATGTCGTAAGTTGAAAACATGTTTAATACAACTAACCTACAGAACATCATAGCTTAGCCTAGCCTACCTTAAACGTGCTTGGAACATTTACATTAGCCCACAGTTGGGCAAAATCATCTAACACAAGCCTATTTTATAATATCTCATGTAATTTATCGAATACTGTACTGAAAGTGAAAAACAGAAACCTAAGTATGGTTTCTACTGAATACATATTGCTTTTATACCATTGTAAACTCGAAAAATCATTAACTCAAACCATCCTAAGTTGGGGAAACTCTGCATGTGTATATGATTCCTGTTAGGTTAAAATGCAATGTGATGGAGTCTTATGAAAATTATTTTTCAAAAGCAAACCTTATTGCAATGACTTTTTATATGAAATAATGTCGACCTCTGCATTGTGTTGCTTTTTCCAAATGTATTTCTACTTTAGCATTTTTGTTTATCAAGATTGTCATTGCACTTAAAAAAAATGTATACTTTTGGACAGAGTATAATCACAATTTGTGGTAATGGGCATGCTGCCAGTATGGATCTGGCCTTCACATCTTAGGCATGAGTGGTGACAATTTGCTCTGTACCCCATGAATATAATACTCATAACCAATACAAAAATAAAAAGAATAAACACTCTGGCTTAGCAAAAAAAATAAATTAAATAAATAAATGTATACTTTGCACTTGCTGGGTACAGTGTTCAATCAATGTCAATTATATAATTGGTTAATAGTTATTGACATGTTACAAATTTTTACTGATTTTGTCTATTTGTTCTATCAGACATTAAGAAAAAAAGTGTAAAAATCTCTGTGATTATAAATTTATCTTTCTCCTTTTAGTTCTATCAGTAACGCTTCATGTATTTTGAAGTTTTATTATTGGCTGCGTAAACACATGAGATTGTTATGTTCTTTTTAACTTATACCTTTATTCTTATGAAATTACCCTATCTTTGTTAATACTCCATGTGTTGAAATCCATTTTGTCTCATACCATACCAGCTTTTTTATCCTTTTACTTTCTTTATATTTAAAGCATGTCTCTTGTAAACAGCATTTAGTTGGGTCTTATTTTTTTTTTTTTTTAAATCCTGTTTTACAATCTCTTCCTTTTAAGTGGAGTGTTTAGTCTATTCACATTCAAAGTCATTGATACAGTTGGGTCTAGGTCTAGATATGCATATTTTAGAATGCACAGGACCAGATTTGAGGTTCTATTTTTCTAATATTGGCAATTTAGTTTTATTGAAAAATTATCTGTGATATTAGGTTATTACTTTGAATTTAATTTGCTTTGCAGTATTGCTTTTATTTAATTTGTAAATTTCTTTTGGTTTTATATTATTCCAGAGGACTATTAAAATCTCTGATTAAGTTTGTGGATTTGTTTATGCAGCTATAAGTATAAGAAGCTTAATGGCTAATTTCCTTTTTTATAACTTAAAGAAATGTAATAAAATTAATTATATCACCACACACACAAGGGCCCTTGAGGTTTTGTTTTTTCCTCCTTTAAAGGAAATCACTCATGTATGAGAAATCCTGTATTTATGAAATTCTGGAGTAGGAAGCAGCAACCAAAAGAAAACAGAACTAAGAAGCCATGGGATTTTATAAATATTGAAAGAAGAGAGCACTGGAGCCACGAGAAGAAGGACATGTTCATTCTGAACATAATGAACATCCTACACCTGTATGACCCTGCTTACAAGACAGAGCTGGAGACATATCCCCAGATAAAGCCTACTTCCACTTATTCCTTCAGTAAGTCTTTACTATATGCGAAGCACTCTATTAGTAATAGAGCACTGAATAACACAGAAATGGGCTACTACAAAGTTACTCTAGTGGATGTACCAGTAATGAATGGTCGATAGGGAAACACAAATAGGGAAGCTTTAAATATATGCAGATACTAGAAAAAAAAAAAAAAAAAAAGCCTCAGGTAAGATGAGGTTGGAAGTGCCATATGATCACAAGTTTCTAAATTTAAGAAGACTGAAATGTTTCAAATCTCTGGTAAAGGAGACACTATCTATGTAGAACATATGTATAATAACCTCCAAATGGAAGATTTCTCCTAACAGATTTTTACCCTCATAGACTATGAATGCTCACAGGCTCTAGATAAGAGGCATTCTTGCAAAGCTAAAATCAAGATTTTTCTCTTCTATTTTCTAGGTTTAACACTTTCCTCCAGATAATACAGCTGGTCACAGAATAACTTTTACTTGAACCATCTTGTCTGGTAGCAGGCCTGATGCTGTCATATTCCTGTCTTGCAGATCCTTTGGAACTTTGTAAAAGCAAAATACATGAGAAAAACTGAAGGTGAATTAATTTAACTGGAAATACTGAAAAAAACGAAACAAAACAAAACAACTGTATTCCAGGGGAAGACTTCCCAGGCTGCAGCTGCTAAAGTGAACCTAGACTGTCTAGCTAGGCACTGTAGTGAAACAACCTTCTGGCTGAAACTGAGTGGACAAAAATGTAAAAAACAAAATTGTAAACTTTTATTCTTTTTGGGAACAAGCATTTTAATTTTTCTGTGGCTAAATGAGAGGGTACATTTCAATGTTAGGAGTTTAATTTCTCTTGCAGGAATTTATTTAGGGAAGATGGTCCATAAGTTTCAAATATGGGGCACTTTTTGGGTTGCTCACATGGGTTCTGTGGTGATGTTATACTCTGTGGTGATGTTATAAAACCCCTCTCCGCTAAGGTCATAATTGGAAAGAGATTAAAATGATCACTTTAACGCAGGGGGTAGCTAACTAAAGTTCCCTGTTGTTGGTATAGCCCACGGTGTAAGAATTGTTTTTACATTTTTTTTTTCTCTGAGGTCCTATTGCTCTGCTTTTACATTTTTAAGGGCTGTTAAAAAACAAAGAAAGAAGGATATGTGACAGAGACTGTATGTGGCCCACAACGTCTGAAATCATTTACTATTCAGGCCTTTACAGAAAAAGTTTGCTAACCTCTGATCTAGTATATGCTGTGGCCCTACAATTAATTTTGTTGATGTCATGTTCTGACCCATTTCAGAGGGTTGGGAATGTGGGAGGAGGGGAATGTTTACTGTCTACCGTGTAATGGGTATATTCCCAGACTCCTCTTTTGTGGATGGAGGTATAGGCAAGACTTCCAAAGACTGAAAGATCTCTGAGTCCTTCATTTATATAAGTCCATATTAATACCCTTTGCAATTTTCTGTAAAAGGAAAAAAAGTTTAAAAATTGAGGATAAAGAAAAAATGTCCACGGAGAGCTCCAACAGAATTACATATACAGCAACTATTTCTATAGGACAGGTGAAGGGTAAAATTTAAACAAGGGCCAGATTCCTCAGGGTTGGGTCCTGATTTGAGGTCACAGCAAGTAAGGAGTGACATCTTGGCTACTACTAATTAATAATAAGGATATATTTAGGGATAACTATTCCAGGCACTGTGCTAAAAGGATAGATTAAGTCAAATAACCCTCAAAATGACCTTTTTTGCCATGTATCATCTTAATCTTACAGATGACTAAGTGTAGAAACTTAAAGTAAATATCACCAAGGTGAACTAAGTGTATAAAAAGAAGCATATAATCCATAACACAAAACCCACGCTACCATCACAATGAATTGGCTCTTCTTAAGCAGTTTACTTTGGTCTTTCAAAGTGGCAGTAACAGAAGGTCAAGAACCCAGATGTACGCTATTAATATCTTCACAAATAAGACTTATTTAAAGTTAACTTTAGGAGCTGACCAGTGGCTCAACTGGGAGCACATGGTGCTGATAACACCAAGGTCAAGGGTTCGGATCCCCATACCCCCAGCCGCCAAAAATAACAACAACAACAACAATAATAATTTAAACAAAAGTATGATGAGATAATCATAATCATCATCATCATCATCTAAACAAAAGTGTGATGAGTATGTAATAGCAGCCATCCTAGTCACCTGCACTTAATATATACACGCATACTTTTGTCTGGTACTGGGAAAAGCCCAACACCAGACGGCTACGGTCTAATGTACTTTTATCAAGTTGTCATGCCCCATATCTACCAGAGGAAAAGCAGGGTTATCCGTTTTCACAAACGGTAAACCCGGGCATCTGAGAGAGGAGGGTCAGGCCAGGGCGAGTTGTGCCGTGAACTCAAGAGTTGCGGATTAGTGACTGCGGGGGTGCGAGGAGGCCTCGCCACTGCTGCTCGGTCACCAGTGGCCGCGGCGGCCCCGACGGCTCCCCGGGACGAACATCCTCTCCTCACCCCCAGCTCCCAGCGCCCCGGGGCAGCCTCGGGGGAAGGGATCCTCTCCTCAAAGTCCCCCCCCGCCCATGCCAGGTGCTTCCTGGCCAGCTCCTGGGAGCAGACGGTCTACCCTTTCCTCACCCTGGCACCGCAGCAGGTGAAGGGACGCCCGAGACTCCCACCCCGACACCGCCCCCGCGACCACCCCGACCGGGGCACCCGCACCTTGATGGGCTTGATGTCGTTGGGGCTGAGGCACTGGCCGTGCATCTCCTCCATGGCCCTGCAGGCCTGCGAGCTGCGGGCGAACTTGACGAAGGCGATACCCTTGGACTCCTTGGTGTGTTTGTCCCGCACCACCCAGATGTCCTGGATCTCGCCGAAAGGCGAGAAGCGCTCCCTCAGCACCGACTCCGGCGTGTACTTGCTGATCACCAGGAAGATGCGGCTGTTGGGCGGCTCATCCAGGCTGTCCACGCCCAGGCGGAAGCCTCCGCCGCTTGCAGAGATGCCAGCTTCGTCCATGGTGCTCCACCCCGGCGCGGGAGCCAGACCCGGGCCTGCCTCAGTCCTCTTTGCTTGGGATTGCACACCTAGCCGTTGCGGAAACGGAAGAGTCCGGCACCAGACGCTATCCCGCCGCGCGGGGTGCTGTCTTCCGGGGAGCCGCCTGTAGCGCCCCCTGGCGCCGCGGGGGACCCTGACTCAGCCCGGGCCTCCAATCGCTGAACCCAAATATGGTATCAGTTGTGCAATCCCTGTTCCCTGCTGCCAGAGCAGCGCTGCCTGGTGCACCTGCTTTCGCGACGATGGCCTTGCCCGGTCCCCGAGCCCGAGGATTCTTCCCCCAAACTTGCCATTCATTGTTAAAGAAAATATTATTCATGACACTGTTAGAGATGGTAAGGCAGACTATTGAAGGGGAGGCCATAGCGATAGGTATAGGGCAATGGGGTCTTGCAGTAGAGGATAGAGATTGGATTCGATTTCGATTCTAATATGGACAAGTGGGGATTTATAACCAAGGAGCAGGGTGGGGGTCAGTGGATGGAAAATAACTAAAAGTAAACATCAGGAAGAGATGAAAACAAACAAAAAACATCAGGGGTGAAGGGGATTTTTGCTAGACTGGCTTAAGAGAATGCTTACTGAAGGTGGGCCAGGGTGATACCGTATTACGATGGTCAGATACCAAGGGTGGAAATTTTCACTAAACTGATTTAGCACGATTCTTGCTCTTGAGCCTTAGAGCTGAAAGGAATCTTTGAGATCATCCAATTCCAGCCGCATTTGTTAGACATAACCAAAGGTAATATACCCCTGGGGTTTGAGGGCAGAAAGGGTGGACTGCTCAGCTGTGCAACTAGGAGAAATCGTAGGGTGCAAGCAAAGTGAGAAATGCCTACTGACTTTTAAAGCTTCTTCTTGTTAGCAGGCTTTAGAGGGAGAGATCAGCAGAAAACCAGCAGAAATCCAGAAACAGTCCTAGATTTAGCAGTGGAATTGGAATGAAATGAAAGGAATAAATCTGAAAGTGGACCAGGAGCAGGAGCTCCTTGAATGTCCAAGTCCAGGCTGTTAAGCCCTGGGTTGCTATGAAGTCAAACAGATAAATATTTATTTTTTGGTGGCTTGCTTGTACAGGGATCTGAACCCTTGGCTTTGGTATTCTAACACAGTGCCCTAACCAACTAAGCTAACTGGCCAGCCCAGGTAAATATTTATTGTGTACCAACTATGTGCCAGGCTCTGTGCCAGGAGCTAGATATATAATGGGGAACAGGCAAGACATGATCTCTATTCACAAAGAGCTTTTTCTCCCCCCTACTATGGAAATCTTACGTGTCGATATATAATGCAAAGTAATGTCAGATTGTGTTAAACGGTTTGGCCACTAATGTTAATGAATTCATCCATTCATTTAATCAACAAATGTTTTTGACTGTCTACTGTGTGTTGGGTACTGTGCTATACTCAAGGGATATAGTATTAAATGAAATAGTCACTCTCCTTTTCTCATGGAGTTAATAGTTTATTCTTGTATAGTTATGGTTATATGAGATAATATATATGAAGCTAATAGTTTAGGGATCAAATGAGATAATATATGTACAATTAATTGCACAATAGAGATTAATTTTCTTGTTCCCTTTGACTGTGGTGTCCATTCCCCCTTCCATGATACGGTTTAGTTGTGTGATGGTAACTAAGAGTCAGGAATTCTGGGTTGTCACCCTGGATTGAGCACAAATGAGATTGTTATAATTACTCCTTGTATTACATTCCATACCTATAAAATGTGGGCTATGTTAACCCTAGGGCTTAGCAAATCTAAAATATGTCTTATCTTAATTTTACACTTCTGTTTGTCTTACCCAGACCAATCAAGGTGAATGAAAAGAATATGGTAATGTAATAATTTTATTGCATAGGAAGTGCAAAGATTCTGAGCAGTGCTATTTGCACACTGGTTCCATCTAGTGGAAAATGTTTCATTTTAAAGTGCACTAACTAGGCAATCTCTATTCTTCGTAAAGTACAATTACTGGTGGGTATTCTGAAAATTTTAGGCTGATATTCAGAGCAGTTAATTTTTTTCTTAAAGAAAGGATAAAAAATTGCATAAAACAAAACCAGGAACAAAAATATTGAGAAATGCTAGAAAAGCAAAATTTCTTTACCTCTCAATCATGTAAAATACCACATAATCTAGAATAAATAAGAAATTTACTTATAAATTACTAAAATATAATAAATGTATTTTTCTTCATGTGACTTATCTATTTACTTCATACAGATTTATTGAGATGTAATACCTATATGATACAATTCACCCATTTGATGTGTTAAATTAAAATGATTTTTAGTTTGTTTACAGAGTTGTCAAGCATCACCACAATCAATTTGAGAACATCTTATCACTTAATAATGACAGAATTGTCATCTTTCAAATCATATAAAAATCTTTCAATATGAGTTACATGTAACTAAAACATCTGCAGTTTGAAAGAGTGATTATTAATTAGTCTTATGTTAGAGAAAAGGTGTTCACTTGATATTCACATGTCCTTTGAATTTTTTTCTTTCAAAAATCTTATGAATTTTTTTTTTAAAAAGCAGTAATATTGTGACTGATTTTTGAAATACAAGGAGTAAATAGTAAGAGATTCCAAAATCTCTTAAACTATGATGTAAATACAATGAGGCTTACTTGGTTGGTGATAATAGTCTTCATACATTATATTTAATTAACTAAAACTGTTTTACCCTATTTGCAAAATTTCTATAAATTTTACCACTGATATTTATAGGTAATCAATTAGTAACTTTCAAAATCTTCTATATGAATATGGTCCAGAGCCTCTATTTGTCCAGTCTGTAAGGCTATTACTGGCTACTGATCAAGTATGCAAGCACTTAGCCTGGCAGGTAGTAGGCACTGAAGAAATGGTAGTCTCCTTCTTCCTAACTTTGCATGCTTTTGTTTAGGAATATCTAACTCCTGTTTTGTTTTGTTTTTTTTTTTTTGGTTTTTTTTTTTTTTACAGTAGAACTTGTCCTTTTGATTTAATTTGATGATGCATTTTAAATGTGTAGCTCACATAACAGAACTCATAGATACCACTTAGAATAATTTCAATCAACCAACTGGTGACTGTGGCTATTTAAACTAAAACAAAATCAATTAGAATTACTTAAAATTAAAAATTAATCATATTAAATTAATTAAAAATTCAGGTTCTCCAGTGAATAAGACAAATTTTGAGTGCTCAGAAGGTATTTGCAGCTAGTGGATGGTATCCATGAAGAACATTTCCATCATGGCAGAAAGGCTTATTGGACAGTGCTGCTCTGGAGAACAAGAATTTGGGGTAAATCTCCTAGTTACCTAATTCACAAAATTTTTACTGTAACATTTCCGACTACCTTGATTCTTGAACAATTTTAGAAAATTATTTTAATATTCCTATTTCTCTTTCATAGCCTTACCACTCACGTCCCTCTCAATGACTATGTAACCACAGGCAAGCTACTCTCCCTACTCACGTTTTCCTAAACACAGCTTTTGGGGTTTTTTTTTTTTCCTTAGTTTTTCTTGTTTTTTGTTTTTATGCCCTAATCATAAATGATCTTTATTAAATAATATATATTCTTGTAAACACAGCCTTTGACTTTCTCATCTCTCTGTCTTCGATACCCTTGTCCTGTAATAGCTTTCTCAGTCTTTNACTATGTAACCACAGGCAAGCTACTCTCCCTACTCACGTTTTCCTAAACACAGCTTTTGGGTTTTTTTTTTTCCTTAGTTTTTCTTGTTTTTTGTTTTTATGCCCTAATCATAAATGATCTTTATTAAATAATATATATTCTTGTAAACACAGCGTTTGACTTTCTCATCTCTCTGTCTTCGATACCCTTGTCCTGTAATAGCTTTCTCAGTCTTTCCCTCTGTGTCTCCCCCGCTTACTTCTTCAGGACTCATTCTCTCTCTCTCTATTCTTGCTCTATTCCACTCCTTTGGCAATTAGCACCTTGCCACCTTGCTGTTAGTTCCTGTATTATTGTCTTTTTGTGTAGCTCATTTATAATAATTTAACTTTACTGTATTTTACAATTTTCCCCAGACAGATTATAACTCGTAGAAAACTGGGGCTGCGGCATTTGCTGTTGGTACTTCAAGTTGCGTGGCACAGTGCCTTGCCCATAGTAAGCACTCATTTTATTATTTTGTTGACATGATTTGATTGTTGAAACCAAATGTTCTTGTACTATTCAGAAAACATTAAGTTCCTACTTTAAGCAAGACCTTGTACACTTTGTGAATATACACAAATAACTTAACTCTTTGGTTAGGTAAGGCTTAAACAAACAAAAAAAGCCAGGCTTGAGACTGTTACTCAAAGAACATTCACTTTGTCACATTTAGAGTCAATTAGTGGTTGCACAGCAGTTGCAAGGCTTTAAGTCTCTGCCATAGTTGGGATCCCGTGGGATCTGGGAGCCAATCAACAGCGTGGGTGGAGCCAGGCCTCCCATTGGCTGGCGCCCTGCCCCACCGCAAGCACATGCCTGAGCAAGCCTGCTGTGAAGGGCTT